TCTGATAGGATTCAGCTACTTTAAATTTGCTCGTTCGTCGCGGAAAATGGTTTTTATTTCTATGGGTGTGACATCAAATTTCTTTACTATACTGTAACCGAACACACATTCTTTTTTTCTTTCATTTTTTGCTTAAGAGCAAACCTCCTCCTCCCTTGTGAACTTTATATTTCACTCGTATGACAAAATTTTAAAAAACAAAACAAATTGAAGATGTTTTTTGTTCCAATTTTTTTGATAGCAAGTTGCTTGAATATTGAGAATGGTTTTATGTGTAAAAGAAATATCATCCTCAAGGGTTCAGGATAGTCTGACTTTCAAAATTTTAAATTTATAAAGGAATTTTAAGTCAAATATCCTTATAGATTTAAGACTTTTCAAAATATGTTTTAGTCTTTACTTTTTCATGAAATTGAATCGAAAATAAAACATTTTGTTTCTATTGTGACTTAGAGAATGCTACTAACTCTAATAGAGTAAAGAGGAAGTTTCTTGTTCTACGATAAAACCTAATCGAGAAAAATTGAAAATGCTTTATAATGATGACAGAAAAAGATAAATACATTTTAATTAAAGTTTTTTGAAATTTTTGTTTCCTAAAACGTTGGTAAAAATGTCTGATATTAACGTCGGATGATTTTAAGCAGACACACTGGCCTACGTAAACATATATTCAGTTCAATTTTGAAATTTAAAATTTGAATTATTATAATGTGAAGGTTCTTAATCGTTAAGAAAAACGAATTTTGTCTTTTCTTTAGTTCGTGTACCCATTAGCGTAATGATTTACCTACTTCAAAGGTTGTCGTCGAAGATTTCATTATGCTGCTTCTCGTCTATTTTGAAAACGATGAGCGTATATTTTTTTATATTTGTTTTTCTCTAACTTTTTTTTTTTTCTCTTCTCGCAAAAATTACATTTGTACATACTTCCTTTTCCTTCTTATGCTCAATTAGTTAATCTGACCTTAATTTTGTTTTCTTATTTATTTCACACTAGAAAATGTTATATAGAAAAATATATCTTAAAATTTATTCTTAATCTTGATTATATTTTTCATTTGTCATGTTGACTAATGGATTAAATCTGAAGTATAAATCTTAGCAAATGAAAAACGTCTGGTTTATAGTCAATACTTTCTTATATAAATTGTTTTGACTGTAACGTGTCAAATGAGAGAGAGCCAAAGACGTTTTTGTTGATTTGTTGCTTTTTTCAATTTTAAAATATTTTTTATCTCGTTCTATTTGATGATCTACATGACTTTATGTGAGAGTAAGATCAAAATGGATTATTCATCATTTGAAACTGTGATCATTCTCTTTAGATTAAACTGAATATAGAGAAAAATTATACGAGCATCAACTTCACCGCTTGAAAAGAGAAGATATTCGTATTTTGCGAAATGTATTCAGTATAAGACTGTTGAACTGACAAAAAGTTTTTAATAGAAGTGAGTTATAAATTATTCAACAACTTTTATTTGGAATTTTTATCCTCGATTATGGTAGTTAAAAGAAGTCCAAACGTGGTTTGAGCAATTAATAAAATTTTCAATCAGAAGCTGTGTGCGTATGAAAATTCCATCAAAGTTGTTAACCACTAGAACAGCGTTACCCAATTTATTTTGGCATCCTTTCATAAAATTTAAAAATTTGCGAAATCCCAGTAGTATTTTGACATAATATTTGACAAAAATTATTTAAGACTACGTAATTTTTTTTACGTAGTGAAATTAATTTTTATCTTCTTATTTTTTTCTGGCGGAACCCTTGGTTTCACTTCACGGAACCCCATTTGGGAAACGCTGCACTAGAAACATGAAAAACCAAAAGCCTAGAAAACGAAAAACAGTAGCCAATTTTGGCTTACTATGTGAATAACAGAGATCAGCACGAACCGAGCCAGAAAATTTTATAGAGTGATCGGGCCGGACTTGGACCGAAAAGTATTTTGGTCAGATCGGGTCGGGCCGAACTCAGAATTTTTAAGCATGCGTGGATTTGTAATTTATATGCATACTCAGTACCGAGAAAGAGTATTTATCACTGTTCCGTGACATCTTAATGACTTCGTTTAGCTAATACCATTAAAAGGTTGAAAAATGAAAACCAAATATAAATATTAGCTTGAGAAATACATTTACACAACTTAGTCAGCAAAAGCATTACAGATGCAAGAAAAAAATCACGCCTGGGACCAGAAAATTTTAAAAAGTGATCGGGTTGGGTAAGAAAAGTTTCAGGATTGATCGGACCGGGCCAGATAAATTCCACGTTTGGTCGGGCCGAGCCGCGCTTGATCCAGAAACCTCCATCATTGGGCTGGGCCAAAAATTTTTGGCTCGTGCGGATCTCTAATGGGTGAGTAATTTTTTTTGCGTAATCAACCTGTTTTCTGACTTACGAGTTAGTTAAAATCATTTATATAGTCATTTTTTTTCAAAAAAGATTCTACGGGAAGCCACACTACAAAAAAATATTTTATTAGCACTGATTGTGCACGAATGCGCACCGGTGCCGCATCATTTTTTTTCTGGCAACCGATACGCATCGATGCCAGAAAGAATGTAAAAATCTCGCACCGGTGCGCACCAGTGCCGAAGTTTTGTTTTCAATCACCATTTTGTTTTATCAATTTCTGTTTATATTAACACCGCAGTATACTTTTAGTATTTCGAATGTCTTTCTGACTTCATCTTTTCCTTCTCATAAGAAAAGTGTCGAGGTAATGTCGCATGGTTTTGGCATGTCAGTGTGATACTGATTTACTAAATCGATAATGTGTTTCGGAGACATTTTCTTGGAGTGAAAAACATTGATTTTCTCGGAGTGAAAAACATTGATTTTCTCGGAGTGAAAAACATTGATTTTCTCGGATATCTATTTGCTGCTAAAACTCTTTTTAATCAAAATCTATAACATCAGTAGTAATAAAAATTTATAATCATTCTCTTCAGCGTCAAAACTGGAAGTATATCGAATTTTGCTGATTATTTTTGCATTAATTATTTTCCTATCATCATGGCTTGTACTTGAAAATGTTATGGTATTAAATACTCCTGATATCAAGTTTACGTTGCTCTATTTAAAGGCTGATTGTTGTTTTTCCTAAACGTCTACATCACTGCCCATTGTGCAAAGTTCCTGGGGCAACTTTTTGTAAACAACTTCGTCGAATAGGGGAATAATCTTTCGTAAACTGAATAGAATTTGATGTAAAAAAAATGTAGTAAAGAGCTCGGAGACATCTCTTTTATGCATAAATGTTTATTCTATTTGACTAAATTATTGGCAAAAATTTTCAATCGAATCTATGGATTTAGTTTTCTAGCTATTTTGCTATTCTAGAGATCTAGTTTTCGGCAATTTTGATCATGATACCACAATACCATACCCTTATTTCAGAAAGATTGTGTTAGTCGAAAAAAATAGTGACAGAACATGTTGAAAAGTTTTTTTACTGCAACAAAATAGTTAATTAAAAGAAATGATAAATAAATTTTGTGAATGCAAAGAAAGCATTAAACAGAAATATTATCGTTTCGTTTTTCATATAATAAAATATTATCTTTGTTTTTCTAATAATAACAACAAACAAGATGATACGCTTTCATCTTCAGCTATTAAATAAAATTTACAGCTAAAATGGACGGTATGCTGTTTTATATTGTACTGACTTGTCAAAAATTTTCTAAAATATATCCTCTAGCGACTTTGTTCACTTCAGATTTTGTTAATTATGTGGAATATCTTATATGAAAAGAAGACTCTTGAAGTCGAACTTTCTAAAACAAAAGTAGCCAATATTCAACAGAAAAAAAACAACAGCATTGTCTTAAAAATAGATTTACTTTTTATTTGTTTTTAAAAAAACCACGAAACGAAAGAGAGAAAAGAACAAATGAACAAAAAAATACTTAGACAGAAGAGAAGACACATTGAAAAATATACATGAATGTGTAATGTGAATGATATAATCAACAATGGATGATATATTTTCATTTGTGTTCTAAAAGAGTCAGTAGTAGATTAATAAAACATTAACACACGTACACATACACAGACGCGAAAGAAAACAGCCAAAAATGATGCCTTGCTTAAATATTTATCTTCAATAGCAAAGTATGTATATGTGTGTGTACATGTGTGTGTGTTTCGTTCATCCTAATACTTTGCTTCTTTGTCATAAATATATATATATTAAATTAATATAAATAATGTTAGGATAAAGACAGCACACACTTAAACTTCAAGATATATTCATTGAACGAGCAACAAACAAAGTGAATGTTGTAAAATAAAAGTAAAAACACACTGCTCACAGTTATGTGGGAAAGAAACAACAGAACTCCATTTCAGTTTAGATGGAAAATATGCTAAGCAAACAAATGCCGTCTAGCAAAGAAAGAAAATAAAAGTAAAAACAAACAAAATTTCATATTTTCGGGACATATGCTATAATGAGGACTTTCTTTTGGCATCGAATAAGAACACAAAAAAAAAACTTTCAAATAGACAATAAAATATTTGTAGTAGTCATTGTTATTGTAAAATAAACAACCAATAACAACAACGACAAGAATGCAATTTAGCAGTTATACAAAATGACCGGGCTTTTTTTGATGAAAAAAAAAAATGTCTTACGAAGGAGAAAAACTATGATTTTTCGTACATTAATCTTGTTTAATCACAAAACAGTGAAGAGTTAACACACACACACACACACACAAAGAAAAAAACTAGTCCAATCTTATTTTATGTATACTGAGTAAAACACACCATTTTCGATCAGTACACGATTTTCTTTAAAAAATAGCAGAAGTAAAAACAAACAAAAAAAAACTGCACATAGCTTAAAAAGGTCAAAATATGTGTACACGGACATAATTAAATAATAATAAAAAAAAAGAGATAGAGAAATACAGCATATAGGTAAAAAAAACAAACAAAAATAGGCACAAATTTTTAATTAACTCACATAGAACATGAAGAATTCCTCATGGTCGAGTGTTCGAATGTTTGGCTTGATTAAATTGTTGCTGATTAATTGAACCGGTTGACGGTGAAACTATTAGATTATTTGATGCATTTGGAGAATTTGGACGTAACGATGACGACGGAAATTTAACAGAAGTTTGTGATAATGGTGTCGATGTTTTACTTCCCGTGTTCATTGGGATCAAATTCGGTGATGACGGAGATATATCTTCATCTTCATCACTATTGTACGGTTCATCCATATCCTACAAAAAATAAATAAAATATATATATTTCGTGAACTTTTACATTTTTTCTACACATGCTATTACTCACTCTCATATCAGGACAAAGTTCGATTGCTTTATCGAGTAACGATCGAGCACTTTGTGTTCTTTCAATAAAATATCTAATCATTAGTAGAAAATTAGAATTATTTATTTCATGACTTCAATAATCAATAGACGAACTTACCCTTGAGACATATCATTACTTGTTGTGGGTCCTTGTTGAGATGGATAATATGGATAACCTGGTGCACTACTGTAAGAACGCTAGAAAAAGAGCAAAAGAACAATAGAATACTTCATTGATACTTAAAATATTCTCATTAATTTTCGATATGATTATTCTCCTTAGAAATATGACAAGAAGCTACAGTGCATTTATTCAAAATACTTTTTTTTTCAAGTCTAATGGCTTACTTCTAATTGATCTTGTAACCACTGAACGGCATGTGTCCAACGTGATTTTATATCTGGATCAACTTTAAGTAGATTCTGTGCTTTTTGACATCTACAAGACATGAATACTTGTAAGAAACAGAAATAAGAAAACGAGAGAGCGTAAGACTTACGATGAGAAAAGTACAACCAACATTTTTACACACTGATATGCCCGTTTCTGATAGGATGATTTTGATTTAGTAAACATTTCAAATAAACTTTGTGGTTGATCAAAAACACAACTTGCTGTTGTTGTTGTTGTTGTTGCTGATGTTGTATTATTTGTCGATAAATCACCACCAATGATATTGTTTGTCATTGTCATTTGATTTGTTGTAGGCATTCCTCTGAGTGCATACAACAGTCTTGTTTCCTGCCAAGAATCTTCTAACATCAATACTAGCAATAAAGCATCGAAATGAGTACGTAAATCATAGGAATAAAATGTAAGCTAAAAATAAAATCAATTAGTGAAAAAAAAAATAGATGATTTAGTTAAAGATTAAATACATACAAGACCAATTATTTCATTAAGAACAATAATTGTCACATCAATATTTTCCCATAAAAGAAATTTTAATAATTTTTGTGATTCGTCACAGTTACTTGAGTCTTCAATAATTTTTTTTAAAAATGCATCACGTTTATAAATAATATCAACCAGTTGAAGAGGCATGGCGTATAATGGACCACCATCATTATGAGTATAAAATGGATTTTGTAACAATTCACTATCAGGCTAAACATACATATAAAGGAGAATATAATTTTTATATGATTAAATTAAAAATCTTTGTTCTTACATTTCTCGGTTTACAATACTGTGTTACATCAAAACATCGAATTAATGTTGATAATATCACATATAATTTAGCTGGTTCACCATATCTTTGCATTGTCGAACACGATGATTGACCATCATCATTAACTATCATCAAAATGATATATTATAATTGAGAAATAGATTGAATTAAATTAAAAACTTACCCATTTGAGCAAACAAGATTGGCACGTTTAATCGAATCAATTGTTCACACTAAAAGAAGTATTACAATAAGAACATTACGACTCGGTCAAACATAACCGAATTAAATTCATTTTTAGGGTTTTCGTTTGGAAACTTTAGTCCTTCAGTGAAGTTGTAACTAAAGATTTCATTTGTTCATAATCAACTAGAAATACTACTAGAAATAACCAAAAGAGTGACTAACATCTCACTACAGATGTTGTTACGCGCTGATCATTGATGAAAACCAGATAAATTTTGCAACTGGAATTGTACAGTCAAAACCATTTTTTTTTCATTAAAAAGTAGTCTGCTCCACTTTTCTTCTTTTTCTTTCTATACATTTTCGCCATTTTTTAGCACCGAAAAAGAGCCGAAACTTTGATTTTACTAAAAGATGAGTATTTTTTATCAGTAAAAACCATTTTTTCACACTTCAAAGATGTTTAAAATGTTTTTTTCAGATGATATTTGGAATCAGTGTCAAAATTATTTCTGATGCTATATGTTTCAGTTAAGTTAGATAAAAAATGTTTTATGAACCAACATTCAAGAGTTATAGTTAGCTGATCGAGTCGATCAGTCACAATTAATATATACCTCATGTCGTCCCGTCGCCGAATAAGAACAGAAAAATTGAAAATATTGTGTGAGTAATTTGACATTTTCTGGAAAATCTTTTGTTTTCAATAACCTCAACACATAATTTAGTATCCGTTCTTCAACACTCATATAATCTTTAATATCATCTAATAGAAAAATAGATGAAAAAATGCAATTAATGACTAATACTCATATTGTTTACTCTAACCTGTTGGAGCAGTTTTACTATTCAATAGTTGTTCATCTTGACGCGACGATGTTGCCAATGCCACAAGTATTTTGCCGAACGCATTACGTATCTAAACAAGAATAAATAAATTGATAGTCTATAGAATAATCGATATATGACTATTTTTCATTTACTTCAGCAAATGTACAATCAATTAAATATTCTTGAAAACGATTTGGATGTTTAAACAAAACTTCTTCACTCATAAAATGTCTTGCTTTACGTGAGACACGTATGTATTGTCCAATCAAATCGGACCAATCACTTGCTGGACCACTAAAAATTAAATTATAGAACATATTATTGATTCTATCATTAATAATAAATAAATATATACATACCGCAGGGCTTTTTTTGTATGCCATCCGACAGAGAATAAAAATTTACATGCAATTTGTACACTGACAAGTGCCAATTCTTCTAAATCATCGGTCTAAATAATGTTAAATCAAAAATAATGATATATGATACAATAAAAAGTGTTAATTGATACTTACCATAACTATTCTATCCGGATTTTGTTGTTGTTGTTGTATATTTATTGAAATTACTTGAATATTACTCTGTACTAAACGTTTCATAAATATAAAATATTCCTGACTAAAATGTATTCGATTGTGTAAAAATCTAATATTTTGTCTTCGAACACTTCGTTGAACAGATAATGGCATTCGCTGTTGTTGATCATCTAAATTATCAGTATAAAAAAGAAAATATGATGTTAGATAAAAAAAAAGAAAAAGTAAAATCATTTATCTTACATAAATGTAATTCGGATAAATCTTTTTCTAAATTAACTTCGGTAGAATCTGTTATTTGTTTATAAAATAATATATACGCATTCCACCAGCGTCGTTGACTGAAATAGAAAAAAGAAAGAACAGATTTATAAATGAGATCAAAATCATACAAATAATAAAAAATACCGTTTCATAACAGGTTGATCAAATGTTTGTGTTGGATAATCACCACCGAAACATTGGGAACGTAGTTCTTCGTCATCATCCATCTTACATTCACTAACATCAATATCATCAAATTTATACCAATGTGATTGATCCAAATTTTCATTTCTAAAAATATAGGATAATAAATATGGTCATCCAGCTGTATTTTCTGAGAGAATGAGGACACAGACTATTAGTATCGAGTAGTAATCTGTGAAAAAAGTCTCATTTATACTACGGAGACAAGAAATATTGCTGCCCAAATGAAAATTCTTTTTGCTGTCGTACATACTTAGTTTGAATAAATGAATAATAATGTCCACCATTCGCTTGACCACTATGAACAATGATACCCACAAGTTTATACTGCATTCCTCCGGGATTAATAGAACGATTGTTTTCATCAGCTGAACAATCATCGGTTACGGCAATACCTGAAAATAAACAAATATTGTTGCTATTAAAATCATTTAATTATATATAAATTACTTAATACCTTCAGCTTTGGCTAAACCTTGTACGGTATAAGGTTCCATATTTAATTCTCTTGGAAATTCAAAATAATCATTAAACTTAATTGGTGTTTCACGTTCCCAATCATAATCAAAGCGTTTCAATTGAATTGCAAGAATTGGTGGTAATTTTTTGAAACAAGTTCGTTTCACAGTATCAACCTAAACGCATACGAGAAGAGTACTTTCAATGATCGATTAAAACTTAAATGAACAAACTTACTTTTTTATTACATTTTTCACAAAAATAGGCATTTGGACCATCAAGAAGTTCACCAATAACATATTGTTCGAGTGATTCTTTCAAATTTTGACTATGACGAATATCAACACTCACTAACGTAAAATCTTCTTCACGAGAATATCTAATGCAGAAAAGCAAAATCATGTTTATCCTATGGATAGATAGTTTAGAAACCTGAACATACCTGTGTGGACAATCTTTACATATTTTTTGATCGGCAAATGTTCCACCTAATACTTTTGAACATATCTGAGGTAAATTTAATGATTTGAGTGCTTCATCAACACTGTCAACAACCGTATTAAGAAACTCAACAGCATCATGTTGTTCACGTAAATTTACGGGCTCACCAGAAAATCTTAAACAATAAATCACTACAATGATTAACTTTTCCTATAGAATCCTTCGTCTTACTTGAATATTTTCCAGAAACCTCTTGGTATATGAAATTGTAATTTTGATTCTAGACAATGTCCAAAGATCCGCTGTATATGCTTCAAAATACAGATATTGTAATCAGTTCGATCACCATTTTTTGATGATACTGGCGTTTTTTGTCCACCACTTTCATTTGTATTATTTTCGTTCATTTCTTGTTGATTATTATCTAAACTCATATTACTTGGTGAATTTTTTGTTGTAGTAGTTGTTGTATGGATATCTTTGAGAAAAGATTTTGCATCTGCAAATGATTCCGACTAGAAAAAAGAAAGAGACTTATACAGAATGAGAAAATACATTTCGGAAATCTAGAAAAAAAACATACTGTATCACGTTTGTCATCATCATCAGTTTCCTCGTCATAATGACCGGGAATTTTAACGGATAATAATGCTGATCTCAATGTTTCAATCATAAATAACTAAACAGACAAGCAACATTATGAGTTTGTGATATTTCAAGTAGCATCTTCTTTACCTGTTGTAACACAGAATTCATATAGCAAGTAGCACCACCATTTTTTAAACCAACAAAACCTCGATTTGGACGAGGACCAATCGGAGGTGAAAAATCCCATTCCGATAAGGTTGAATCGGGCACTAAATAAAGCCAAAACAATATGTGAGTAACTGCCAAGGAATATATGTTCAGTTTTCAAAGATTCTTTACTATCATTAGTAAAATCACTACTATATCTTAGTTTCAACGTAGAAGCGTGCAGAAAATGAATAATAAAAAAAAACATTACCTGTATAAAATAAATTTGTTAAATAATCGTCAATTACTCTCAAATTATCAATACAATTTGTTCCTAACACGACAAGAAGATCAAATGCTGCTTGGGATGTTTGTGGTGTCTGACATATGGCAACAGGTGGTTCTTTCAATAAATCCATTTCATTATCGTTAGTGTTTTCGTAGCGCACATCCGGTTGAGATTGTCGTTGTTGAAGACGTCTACGTCGAAATTGATACAATAACATGGAGGCAGGAAATAAAAATTGTTCAATTAATTCCTGTATAAGTGATTGTCCAATACCGTCAGATGATAATCCACCGTAATAACTTTTTCTTTCACTATTCTGAAAAGCTAGTAGTTCTTTCGCTACGGTCAAATGTCCTTTCAGTAATTGATCATTTATTGTTGTTAATTGTCTATTTGATGTTGTTGGTACATTTTTTAACCAGTCAATTTCATCGTTCAATTGTTTATCAATATCAGGCGGTATCACTTGATTTGCAAATGCAAATGATAATAAACGACATAACAATAGAAAATATTCGTTTGACTGTTGAGAATATATTTGCAGATCGTCTCGATACGTTGATGTTTTATCTAATAGTTTAAATTGAATATGTATGATATATTGAAGAACTCCTTCACCTCTACTCGCACGTGAAGCCAAAAGAAAAAATTGGTCATACGCTGTATGACGAACTAACTGATGACGACAATAGAGTATTAAATCGATGAGAAAATTTTCAAAAAATGGTTCCTGAATTAATTTTTCAATCGATGCATGAACAAGAACAATGCACAATGATAACATTTCGAGAGCTTCACGACACGCAAGAATTTGACTTTCGTCATCTTCATCGTCATCATCATCATCAACAATAGTATTTTCATCAATTGTCAAATTGCCAATTGCCTACAAAATGAAAACAAGTCAAATAAATAAAACGATTACATGAAGAAGAAGAAAAATGCTCACATTCTCCTGCTCTATACGTAGAAGTTGGATGTTTAGAAGTGTTTATAGCAAAATAATAACCCTGAACTCATCTAATTCTGAATGTCAAACAATTCATTTCTATGTCAGTGTGAAATACTATTCTTCTTCAGAAAAAGGATGAGTAATAGAAAAGATTTACGTACATGATCTTGTTTAAAATGTTTATGTATTGTATTAAAATCTGATTTTAAAGACGTTTCTAACGTGGTTGTCATTGTATTTCGATATTTTCCACTACTATCAGCAGCTAAACACCAAATTAAACGAATTAATGCTATTAAATGTGTATACTGTAATAACGATGATTTTGGTATAGAATGATCTTTTTTCGATGTTAAATAATTAGCTATTTTCTGTTCTAATGATAGAGGTACATGTTGTTGCAATTGTTCACCAGCGTTATTAACTGTAATTAATGTTAAGGTTGGTACAGTTTGTAACATTGAATCCAGGATGATGACATGATCTTGTGATTGAGATAGCTTACATTGATAATATCCAAGTATTGTTAACAAACGTTTACATATGTACAATACAACTAAATAGATTGATTTGAGTGATGAACTATCAGTGAAAGATTGATGAATGGGATTTGTGATGGTTGTGGACGATCGACCCGTTGTAGAAGAAATAGTAGACGATAACTGATGCGGTAAAATATTTAACATACAAGTCAAACCGCCACCATGTAAAAATCGAATGTGTAGAAATTCAACAGCGGCTATTTGTTGAGTAGTTGGAGCTGCCGGCATCAAGCCAATATGTGTCACCTTTAAATTATATAACAATTGGGATATTGTAGTTGTATGAAAATAGAACATTTCTAATCTTTTATGTGTTTCATCTAAGCTAATTTGTTCACCAGACGATGATTGTTGAGTAAAACAATTATTTAATTGTTGCATAACACTTTTATCATATGGAATTATATCTAATATTTGTCGAGCTGTATCACGTAAACGATTATTTTGTTCTGTACAACCGAGATCAGCCAAATCAATTAAAAATTTACAATTAGCATGATTTTGAGAAAATATCTAAAAAATATATCAAAACTTAATAAAACTTCACTACTTATAAACTACACATATGTACCACAGATGGCAATGTTGACTCAGCTAATGGATCAGGATGTTCGAGTACTCGACTATGATGGGAAAATGATGAATTGTTATTGTTATCATTTGATTCAGAACTACTACTTTCACCACTTGAACCTGTGTGACTTTGATGTTGAACCCATCGAACTGTTATTATCTATTTAATTAGAATAAATCATAAAAAACTGATCAACAAACAAACATCAACAACCTACTAGACGATCACGAGTTTCGGTTTGCGCTAATGTTTTATTATCGTCACACGGATGAATTAATTCACTGTTACGATATAATTCAATAACACCATAAGTTGTATTAAACCTAAAAGAATGAATCATAGACGAACATGATAAAAATTCTCTTTATAATGATTATGTATCGAGAGATGGTGTCTAATACTAAGAAAGTCTGACACAAACTTTCCAGAAGACTACCATTTCATATGTCAGCTTCAACTAATAAATTCTAATGTAGCATCACATCTTTTCAAATGAATGACTTATTTAAAAATCATACAAATATGAAGTCTGTCAGTTGTTTACTAAAAGCAGCGTATTAAAAACACGTTCTCCCACTGACATAATCACAGATTCAAATTTGCTTTTCAAAATGTCTCAAAAGTTTCTTTACAAACACACAAGACTATCAGTATAATAGAAAATAAGCACGCAAAATACATGATATTAGTCAAAGAATCATCATTAATCATTCTTATGTTCAGGTAAAAAAAAATTATGTATGATAACATGATTTCTAGTGATTTCAAAACAAAATAACAGAGCATGTGCAATCATTTGAGCTGTTATTTTATTATAAAAGAGATGATGGATAGAAAAAGAGCATGTTGAAGAATTAAAAATTGAGAAACTTACCAAGACCCCTGACGATCATCATTACAAAAATCATGCGTGTTTTTCGTACTGCAACACACACACACACACAGAACAAATTTTTAATTTAAAAGATGAAATATCTATATGTTAGAACTATAAGCAGTTTCACAGGCACCAAAACATTAATAGAAAACTTTAAAATATCAATGTTTTTTTACATATAATATCGAAGCTCTGATCTGTCTTAAGACGTCTACGAATATAATTTTTGTACAAGATCGTCTTTTTCTTTTAGAATGACAGTAGAAAAGTAATGAGAAGTGCTAATTCATATTTCTTAACTTCTTCATATCGAATAAATAGATTAGAATTAACACGCCTCACTACATAAGTATTAAAATATAAATGGGAAAAATATTTCAAAATCGGTTATATTCTAACTAACCGTTGATATATTGAACGTCGAATTTGTCCCCATGTTTCATTTGAATGACATGAGTGTTCGAATTCATCTGCCGGACGATTCGGACTTTGATTAACACGAACAATGATGATTACTGGTCGTCCACGAAATGCCCTAGAGGAAAAACATTAAATACAAAATTTTATCGTACGCATAAGATATTGATTTACGTACCTTGACATTGGTAATGTTGAACGTTCTTTATGGTAGGAATTATCACATTCCGACATATATTCTCTTAAAACAACTAAAATTCGTATAAGACTATTGAGTTTATGATTAAATTTAGTTTTTGAAATATGTTCTTTATTCATCGCTTTAATATCGTCATACAATAGACGTAAACGGTCTAAACAATCAGATATAAATGTTTGATGAATACGTTTATGTTCTTGTTTTAATTGTGGACTGATATTTGTGTAAATTTCTTTAATTAAAGTTATTCCGCGTTCAGCTACTTCATCTGATCCGTTTAATATCAACTAAATAATAACATAAATGAAATATTATATTCTAAAATCCTTTTTTCTATTTTTTACACTTACTTGCCACAAATATTCAATACCCACTAAATTTTCATCATTTTGTAAACGAATTGAACGTCGTTTTAATACAAGTTTATGTAATTGAGCATTCACAGATTTGAAAAAACGATCGAAACAACTAAAGGACAATAAATAGACATGTGAATCTGTTTGAGAAGTAGAGATCTACACGGGCAAGATTTTTTTGCCCGAACCCGTCCGTGTCCGTAACTCTACTGAGGATGCTTGTCCGTGCCCGTCTGTGAATTTTTTTCGTATACGAATAGTGCGTATATGAATGGTACAGATCTCTATTCAGAAGGGAACACAGTAAGCAGTTTCCATTAAGTAGGCAGACATCACGTTTTCTTATCACTGAGTTTTGGATTTACAATGAGTCTCTATAATTGAATTAGTATTTTCGTAAAAAAAAGTTAGTCTATAAACTTTTACTTAAAACTTTGTTGAATAGGATAAAAAAAATTTTAATCGTATAACACTATGTTTACACGCTAGTTTTCCCATGATCCACAATAGCTGAAACAAAACGTCTTACGACAATAGTTAGCCCATTTTTCAAAGTATATTTTCTCCTATTTTATTACAGAAATGGTGCAGTTTCAATTTTTTGGTCCAATGTCCGTCCGGACATTCACTGTGGAGTAGTAGTGAAGAAGACCGCAATATACCTCATTCCAAGTTCAGTTAACAAGTTTGGATCAAGTTTCATTAAGTGATTTTGAAAAAAATCTTGATTTGCTGTTGGCTCAATATCCGAATCATCGCCCACCAACTATAAAAAAATAAATACAATTTCAATATTAATTAATATATAAGATAGAAGGAATAAAAATTCTATATTTACTTCTGCAAACCAACGAAAACATAATTCTCGATCATTTGGATAAGCCGCTTCTTCAGCAAGACATTTCCAAATTGATTTTGAATAATCGGCCATCAAATAAAGATGACCTTCTTTCAATATGAATCTAAATAAGATTTTAAATCGATGAAAATCATATACACACACATAGACACAAATATAAACTTTAAAAAGCTAAGTCGTTCTTGAATTTGCTGAATATGATTGAATCTTCCATCAGGATAATAGTCTTCCGGTATTGTTGCTTTTGAATCTAATAACAGAAGTAAATAATTAGTATGAAAAATAGTCTATAAATTTACATATTTATATTCGTAGTGAAGTGAAAATGCACACTGTCTTTATACCTTCTTTATATATTCTTGCATTTTTCATATATTGACACAAATTATCTGTCACAACTTTAATTAACTGATGACTCTTTTCTAATTGTTCAATGACATTCTGACGGTTATGAAGACCAGACATCATTCGTGGAATGTTTTGTGAATACATATTCTACAAAAAGAAACGAAAATAATAAAAAAACATATTTTTAAAATTTAAGTTACAACAATTCTTAGTTATTATTACCTCATGAAATTGCATACAAATTTCACGAAGTTGGCGTAAGGAAATGATAACATGTCCATGATCATGTTTAACTTCATCCATAAACTTTTCTATCCAAGATAATTTTGTTTTCTCTTTTTCCTTAAAAATAAAACAAATGTTTTTGGATTTTAAGCAACATTTGAATAATCTTGAGTGAACAGTTTTACCTGTAAACAGCTATAGTCAAGAATTTTTAAATGTGCATTTAATGCTTGATCAACAATTTCGTTTGGTAAATGTTCATCGTGTGCTATTGCCCACAATAATTCGAGTACCTAGAAAAAATTGCATATCAAAAGATTTTAAATATTTCCATCTATATTATTTCCACATACTTTATTGGCCATCATGCCTTCTTTATCATCTTCTGCTAATCGTCGAATTAATTCAAGTAATTTTTCACGCTGTTTTTTACTTGCACGAGTCCAACTTCTCTATATACGTAAGAAAATACATCAATTTTAAGACTACATTGTTCTTTTACACAACATACTCTAAAACATTCAAATAAATGTTCCAATTGTTCTGGCGAAAAATCCCATGCTAATTTTGATAATAAATCGTGTACATTTTTTTCAATTGCTTCATGTTTTCCACAAGATGAATTCCATATTTTATCTAAATCATCTTTTGTTAATGCATGCTCTTTAATTATAAAACGTAAGATTTTTTCTAATTTTTCAACATATTGTGGTTGATGTAAACAGTCACGTAAAACAATATCTAATATTTGATTATCTTGAATCCATTGCTAAAATGAAAATCAGTGATGATCATAAAAAAAACTATCAATTCAAATGTTTGAAGAAAAAAAAAACTGAATTTCTATTTTAATCTCAATATGTATGATGTTACTTACAGTTAATTTATCAGCTGTTAAACTTTCATAATCGTCCGATCGTAATGATTGCGAACGTTGATTTGTATTTAAACTCATTATTAATTTATTTACTTCATTCAATGCATTCATCTTTCCACTAAATGAATTTGTTTGTAAAATTCTATAAAAAGAGAAAATCTTAATAATGACGAAACTGAGAAAATGAATAGTGCAGTGTATATTTTATATACCGTAATATCATTTTTAAGCGAAGTGCATCTAAACTTCGACAAGATTTATCATTATCTGGTATACGTGATGCCAATGAACGCAACCATTTAATAACTGTTGATAATGTATCACTTTTTGGTTCAGTTTTTGTTTCAAATTTCAAATCATTTTCGGATAAGTGATCCAAAAAGTCTGGGACAATACTCTAAAATAGTCAAGTCAAACGTGAAGTCTTCAGGTTAAACTTATCTTAGAGAGAAAAACAACAACAGGTTTTTACTACCAGAACATCCATAGTCACCTCGATAAAATTGAAAATTGTGTCTGATCACGTAAACTATTTTATTCGTATTATAGTCTTTATCTCAACGGAATCTGATATCTTAGCTTTTAATACTAAAAAATAATTCTTACTTACAATAATGGGAAAAAAACATCTTTTAACTGTGTTTGGGGTTAAATAATCATAGCAAAGCCCCCAAGGTTTGAGTAATGAGACAACAATAGATATAGTTAATTTCGGATGTAAATCGGCTGATGTAAAACGGGAATGAACTTTATCGAAACCACCATGGAAACCAAAACGATTGATAAAATCAACAAGCCAACCCTAGATGAAAATGGAAAAATGATAAAAAAATATTGTTAAATTAGATGTGTCTAAAGAACCTTACTCTTTGCATTACACGATAATCACTGGACAAGGCAAATGGCTCTACATCGGCAGGCAAACGATAATCACTTTGACGACTATGACCTGATTGATGATATCTTAAATATGTGACCGAAAAACGTTTTCAAGTAAATAGTTTTCTTAAATTTTACCCATCTATACTAACCGACAGTTTGGATTCATTAACATTCCGAGAATCTCAAGTAATGGCATACAATCATCTTCTATTTTTAATACACACAAATGAACAAATAACATGCAGTTTCGATAAATATGTTTCTAAATGAGAGAAGAAACTCTTTCTAGCATTGGAAAAAGAAACTATTTTAGAAATCAATATACAAATATTTCTAATTTCCACGATTGAACAGCTTCATCGCATAAAATTTTTGTAAATGAATTAACTAAACTATCACGAATAAACCGTTGGCATGGTTCACTTTTCATATCGATTTCTTTGAAAAAATGAAAAGATACATCAAACTTTCTGATTAACAGAGTCATAGTGAAAAATGCTCACTATGTTTTGCTAATTTGATTGCTGCTCTTAAACATTTGATTAATTCACCATCGGCCAATACGGGTACAATCCAACGCGTCTGATTCAATTGTTCTTCTAATTTAATCAAGTCAGCCAACGGAAATTTGGGTTCGCCATTTTCATCATAGACTTCAAAAAAAGAGAAAAAATAAACACAATGTAAGTAAAATAAGTAATTGAGAGGAAACGTAGTTTAAGAAATGAGAAACAATTTAGTGATTTTGTAAAATGATTCGCCTAATGATTTTTCACTTTTCTCCTTCTGAAACTAGATAATTAGCATTACGACTAGTAGCAAAGAGAAAAACTGACAAAAATCTCTGAAAATCGCACTGAACTAAAAAAATTTGAACCGCCCATTTTAACTACCAGTATGCGTTTTTTTTGACAAGCTAGTTTTGAATTAGAAAGATTCATTTACCATCTCCATCATCCTCTGGTTCTATTTGTTGAGGATCTTCTTGATTTTCCTCATAATCATTTTCGTTGATAGGTGATCGATGTTGTATGTTATGATGGGTATGGTAGGGTTCTCCCACATCCATGTTATGAGTAGATGGTCCATGATATTCAGGTGGAGGATAATTATCTGATTGTGAACGAACCGACAAAGAATGTGGCATTGGTATTGATGTGTTATTTAATATTAAATTTGAAATACTGTTTGTACTCATTGGCAATTGAATATTATCGTTATATTCTTCCGAATCATTACGATTTAGAGTAGGCGATGTTGCGATAGGAGAATGATGTGTATCATTAGAAGACATTGTATTTACATTCATATGAGCATCAATTAAAGGTGGAGAAGTTTCTTCCATATGCAGTTGTGAAGGAGGTGTTGTAGATGTTGGTGTCAATGTTTGATTATGATTATTCTTTGTTTCTAAAGAAGGGGTGCATGGATAATTTTCTTTCGCAGTCATGTGAATTATTTACAAAAATATATCTATAAGAAAATCTTTTAAATAATCAAACTGAACAAGATAATTGTATCAGAAATAAATGGACTAAATTACAGCTAACTGAGATAGAAATCTGGAAGCCAAACATTAAACACATTAGTCAGTTTAAAAATGCGTGTATTTCTGTCAAAGTTAGGCTTTTTGTTTTCAGTTGTTCATTTCTGACGCACACTACTCATTTATTATGAAATAAATATTAGCTAGCAAAACGAAAATGGCAAGATTTTTGTGTGCACGATGATCATATATCTCTTGAAACTTTCAGTTATTTGTTGAAATTCACGTTTTTGAACCACATGAGTATGACTACTATTGTCTTCACTGACTTTTTCTCTTCGTTCTTTTCTCTTTCTGCTTTCTTTCTCAAATATAGATTTCAAGATTTGTCCATTACTGTACCGTTTTATATTGCAGATATTACTCAATCCCACCACGATGATTTCCGCAAGCTATTCTTTTCTTTCATTCATCCAGTGTCTCTAATGCGTGCGCGCATGGAACTATCAAGAGTGAGTCATGAGAAATGCTGGCCAATAGACTATAGAATGCACTTATGCAAATTCGTGTACAATTGATAAGAAGAAAGCTATAACCTGTAGCACAGTACAAACGTTTTATAGAAGAATATCAAGTTTAAAAGCAAGAGTGGCATTCTCACATTTTAGTAGTGGGATAAGCTTAGAGTAGAATGGCCGCTTAACTACAAAAACATAGTTTACAACTTCTGGTGATAGTGATAGTGATGGAAAAGAGCATTTTAACACTTGGCATCTAATAAATTGTTTGAGAAAAAAAGAAGTCTATTTTCGCTTTCGAGTTGTTCAAACAGCAACAGGTGTACAAGGCAGTAATACGAAGAAAAAAACAAATGCTGTAGAGCATCGTATAGATAATTTAGCTCCTGTCGGTGCGTCGGTGCTGTTTGAACAACTTGAAAGTGAAAATAGACTTCTTTTTTTTCAAACAATTTATCAGATGCCAAATGTTAGGATGATGTTTGTTTACGCATATATTAAAACGATTATGACATCCTAGAATCAATATGTGTGTTAGTAGGGTAAAAAGACTTCTACAAATTGAAATTTGATGGTAAAAACCAGAGTGAGAGCGAAAAAATGTAATTCGCGAAACATAAGAAGTCTATCGTTTTACATATAAAGTACTTTTAAGAATCTCTGGTTCTTCTGAGTTCTGTGCTCAAACTATTTCTATGGGAAAACTTTTGTTGAAGAAAGAAGACTCGTGTAATCCAAACGATAGACTTTCGTTTGATGTTAATGGGTTATCAAGCTCTACCTTTACCGTTATTGTTTATACGCTTAATTATTCCATGCACATTCCAAAGATACAGTGATATTTCGTTCAACTAGAAATTTTGAATGGCTTACATTCGTTGTGACTAAAGATAAAAGACGAAAACAAAAATTGTGAAATAATTTCAAAAATAGTACTAGACGACAAGTACATACACAGAACTGAAAGTTCAATTTTGCGAAACACAGGACAGCAGACTTTTCCATCACTAGTAGTTGAAGTTACTCTAGAAGTTAAAACACATAGTAACTTAAATAAAGTATGAATGAATTAAGAAGTAATTACATTTACTGCTAATCATGCCTGTAAAATTTTGTGCATAAAAGGTCTAATTCGACTTAATTCAACATTTAAAGTTTTCTCAATCTTCTGGTTCAATTTTCGCCCTTACTCTGGTAATTCTTGCAAAACAAGTCTATTTCTCAAAACGAGCACTTGTTTTAAAAAAATTCTGGGACTCTTCCTTATATTTTGAAATGGTAGATTTGCTAGAGATTCTATAACCATATATATACAAATTCTAATCCGACAGTCCTAGTTCAAAAAAATGTTTTGTTAAAAAATGATAAAAATGTCTGCGAATGTCATTCTTCCGAAAAATGGGCTCCCCACAAGTGTGAGAAGCTATCGCGTAGTTGTTTTAGAACTTTTTATCGTGATATTCGTCATCAGGAGCTCAAGTTGCACTAAATCTGAAGATTTCAACTGATTAGCATGAAGTTGATGTAAATGTGATACGTTTCTCAAAGAATTATCCATAAATGAACAGATTCTTATACAAACGCATTGAAAACATTCATACTTTCTCTATTTCCGTTACATAAAATGAACGGAAAACAAATCTGAGCTATAGCAATGTTGTATGTAAGACGTCGATAGGAAGAGAATCATACATTGCATTAAATAAAATGTTATCGTGTGTTATGCAAAGTTTACGCATCCGATTTGTAAGGTATGTATTATTGAATAAGAAGTCTTCAAATACAGAGTATAACGGGACTATCTACTTCCTCTCAAAACACTTTACATTTGAGAGACAATAAAAACGATAATATATGAGAAAACACAGAATAAAACAGCTAAATGTTATTGATGTTGTATGCAATCGTATAAGCGTATAAAAATTGTTCCAGTATTTCACAACGATTATTGTTTGAAGAAAATACTGTGTATCATCTAATTTAAACTTACAGAAATATCAAACAGTTTCAAAATAGGAAAGATGCAATCAGCAGACGTCAAGATACATGAGCAAAAAGAACCACGTATATAAATAAGTGTAAAGAACAGTGAGATATGTTCAGAAAACATTCTATCTTTAACTTGGCAAGATAATCTTAGGATAACTCTAACACACCAAACTGTTCCTGATGACAGAAGGTATAAAGAATTTTAAAAAGGATAGTAATATGTTGATAGATTCGAAAATCTACTAGCTTTAAGTTGCAACTATTCGTTTCTAGAACTGAGAAAGATTTTAATCAATAAATATTTTAAGATGCCGTTAACGAACGATATTGTCGACCAAGAAATTGGTACCCTCTACATATTATAGCACCGTTTAATGAGCAGAAACATGTTTACTGTAAGTTATATTTATTATTCCAGTTACTCATATATCTAATGAGACATTAGAAATCTCACTTGTTACAGTGAGAACAGAATTATTCACTCTCACACTAGACTATCAGAAGCCCGTAAAAGAAAAACTACAATGTTTTTCTGAAATTTACTCAACCTTTGAAGACTTTTGATAAACGATTGGAACATGGTCAAAAAAGAAAAAATCTATACAAAAACGAGATCTTAGAGGTTATCTAGATGACGTAAATTAATACAAGCAACCGTTGATTTTCTACTGACGAAGTGAATGGCGTAAAGTTTCATGTAAAATATGTGTTGCAGTTGTAGATGCTATTTTACTATTTTTGATCAAATTGGAGTCTCAATTTTGAACAGAATGAAACACATTTTATATTGCTCCTTGAAAAAGATATCCAAACTCGAATCATTATTTTTGTAGAACTAAAGTTTTCTTCTCAATTAAAAAAAATTATATTTCAGTATAAAAATGTAAAAGTTTACACAGTTCAAAAATGAGCACTTCGAAATAACAAAAAGAAAAACAAGAAATAGTTAAATCAAAAAGATAAAAAGAACCAGAAAAAAATTAACTAAGCAAGAGGAGGAGAAATCAAGCACACACACACACACACAAAATTAAATATAACAAAAACAAAACTTGGAGTCATCATGAGTTAGAATATAAGTAGCACTAATCATGGAAGAGCAACAATACTGTTGCAGAAAAAAAAGAAAAAGAAAGTAAAATAAAGTCACACACACGCATACAAATAAACAGCTGTAAAATGATATACTGTCATTCATTCAATAAGAAATGGAATAGTTTGAGTATCTAAATACAAATCACACACAAAAAATTTGGAAATGATCATTTTAATCACATAATAAGAATAAGAATAACGATGGAATAGATTCGATTCTACTGCTCGTAAGTTTAAACACACACACAAAAAAAGAAGAAAATTTTATACACAAAACAGATGAATGAGAAGTGTGTTAAGACTATTATGAGGATTATTATGTACAAGAAAAAAAGTCATAACCTAAACAGATAATAACAAATATACAAAAATAAGTATTAAGTAGGTTATAGCACAAATCAATAGTTCCTATTGTTTTGTAGTCGGAAGAGAAAGAGAGAGAAAAGAAAATTTTCACAAATTTTTTTTTAGCTATTTTTCATTTATATCTGATCCATGTGATAATTAAAAATAAAAAACAATAACAAAGCGAATAGTGGGCAATATAAATATAAAAATTTTTATGTTGATGGTATTTTTTGTTTCATATCGTTCCATTCATCTTCAATACAAACAAAACTTCGCTGTAATAATTCCATTTGTTGCATTAAACTTTGTTGCATAGCTATAGTAACAGCAAATTGTTGACGAAATACAATTAAACGTTGTTCAAATTTTTGGTTTGTTGTCTGAAAAAAGAATTTCTTACTAATTAGTATAAAAAGATTGAGAAGATCTCAAAATCAATTTTTAAAAATCGTCATATTTAAGCGTAATTAGTGAAGGCATAGAAATAAGATATTAACAATTTAATACAATCAATTTTCTCTTATATTTAATTACCTGATCTTTATTTATTTTCATTGATAAAGTTTTTTGAAGTTGTTCATTATTATTTATAAATTTTGAATTAATTTTTTCTATTGATTTAAATCCAAATCCAGTTTGTTGCCCTAATAATGAATGAACAGTTAAAAAATTATTATGTTCTGAATTTGTTTTTAAATTTGTACTAGTATTATTTGTATCTGATTGTCGTGATTCTAAATCTTGTTGATTATTTGTACCATTATGCATTAAATGTTCATTTTTATCCTGCATTGTCGATGATTGTGCCGTAATAGCCATAAATTTTTTTCGATATTTTTTAACAATATTATGATATTTTTTTGCTGCTTGCTGAAGATTAACATTATTTTGATGTTCTTTATCGGCATTTCTCTGTTCATTTGTTGAGACCATTGTTTCTTGTTTATCTTTTCCATTTGAGTCTGTATCATTGAGTGGATAATCTGGACTAATAACAAATGGATGTTGTGTAATATTTGTTGTTTTAATTGAACCATTCATATCACAACCATTTTGTTTTCCAGTTGTTAACAATTGTGTTGTTGATGAACCGGGAATATAACGATTTCTTGCCATTCTCAAAAATGGTAAACGTTCTTGTTTAGATACAAGATGATGTTTTTTGATAAGATGATCAGTTAAATTTAGTACCCTAAAATAGAAGTGAACAATTCAATATTAATTTTGTTAACATGTACGAATGTGGTAGACCTACCAGGTAGCACAACGTGGACATAAAAGGCGTTTTTTACCATCAAGTGGAACATAAGATTGTTGTTCGGCTGTCGACGATGGTGAAGAAGTTGTTGTTGTTGTTGTTGTTAATGTTGGAATGGTGGTAGTGGTAGATGCTGTTGCAATTGTTACAGGTGATGAAGATATAGATTCAGCTATTGGCGATTTTAATTGATTATTTGTATTGAGATTGATTGGCGTTTGTTGGGGAGATTTATTAGATGTTGTGGCTGGTTGATGATGATTATTATTCTTCATATTTGAATTTGGTGAATGATCATCATTATGTAAATTAGAATAAGATAATATTGAAAAGCTTTCTTGACGATTTAGATTATGTACTACGGTTAAATGATGGGATAAGCGAGAAAAATTGTTTAATCCACATATTGGACAAGTTTTTGTGCGACGATTTGAATTTAATGGAATAGATCTGAAATTGAGAGGAAAAATGTAAATGACAACTAAAGCGAGGATAGAAACAAGCATGAAACAAATGTAACTGACGTATTTTGATTCATAAAGAATCTATTAGACTGATGCAACAACCATATCAATAAAGATAGCGTATAGGTGTGAATCTTGGAAACTAAAAGATTTTGTTATGAAATTCGATTAGATCCAAATCTTCGCCAAGCAAAAAAACTATACATACTTTTGTAATGTGTTTTTTTGCAGTGTGACATTCTGTTCATGATTATCTGATGGGCCATTTACTGGTATTGATGATTGTTCTGTTGTATTTAACTCGTCACTATCCGATGAATTTTCATAATTTCTGTTTACAAATACGCACACCGGTTCCGATTTAACCGTACTCAGATTCCAACTGCCATTCTCACTAACAGTTGCCCCTAGATTAATAATAGCATTGAAATAATATATCATAAAAATTATCCATTAAAAAAAGATCAGATGTACAATATATATATAAAAGTAACTAATTTTTACCATTGGCTAAAACAGGTGACGTTCCCGGATATTGATCATTGATTATACTTTTATTTTCTATTAACATATTTTCATCATCATCTTCATCTCCATCTTCTTCACTTTCGTATCCAGCCCAAACCGTACCATATCCATTATGTGAATGACTAACATTATCGCCATCTTCGAGTCGATCTAAAAGAAAATAAACGTTTTGTCTTTTAAGAACAAAATGTCTAATCACAACGAATTACCTTTTGAATCCCATTCATTTTCTCCTTGAATAATCGTTTCATCTTCGCCATTATTTGACGCTTTTCTCCACATAAATCGTTGAAAATCCTCTAAATTTTGTAATCCATCACTTTCATTTTCTTCATTATCATTGAACTCAATTAATCCATCCTCCTCCTCCAATAACATCATTTCTTTGTCATCATTATCTAGTTTTTCACCACCATCGTCTTCCTCATCTTGACCATCAATCGATCGTTTAGCACGTTTTCCTAATCTTATACTGTTCGTTAATATTCGTGATATGGATGCTTTACTTAAAACACGATTTGATGTTCGCTGTAATTTCATTTGAATTTGTCCAATTGTTATCAATGGATGACGACGTTTCATTTCTCTAATCATTTCAGCCTCATCTTCCGTAATAAAACGCTAAAAATAAACTTAATAATTTTAATATTGCTGAAAATTCTATCATAATCGTATAAACGTACCAGCCTAGTACCAGCACGTTGTTTAGCTGATATACGACCTTCATCAATGTATGTTCGCAGTATACTTCGTGCTGAAATAAATGAATACTTGTTTTACAGAAAATATAGGTAAAAATCTGTAACATTTCATACCTGTTGATCGTTTAATATTTAATTTTTTGGCTAATGCAATAAAATCTTCTCCTTTTTTATATGTATCAATTAAATGTCGTCGATCTACATCGCTTACTCTAACATAACGTCCACGACGTTGATCCGCTATATGTTGAATTTCGATGCTCATTTTTTAATGTTTAAGTACAATACTGAAGAACATTGTTTTAGATCTAAAAGAGAAAAGTAACGAACATTTTAAAAAAATAAAATGATTCTAATAAAATAAATGATATCCTTACTCTTATATTAATACTTTTTATAAACGCTTATTGAAAAATTATAAACTTATTAAACTGAGTTATTTGTTGGCAACACCTCTTATTATTGAACAAAGTATTTGGAAAAAATACTTAGATCTATAGGTTTTTGATGATCGTATACTTCCATTTGTTGCCTTTAATTTTTTTTAACAGAAATTTGTTCTTCTTCTTCTTCGTTTACGTATAGTCGAATGCGTTTTCTCTTCATGTAAAAAAACTCTAGCAATATAGCCAATATGAAACAGCTGATAGAAACAGCTTGGATTCTTACATAGAAAATCATGGAATACAAAATAGATTTTTTTATCATATAGAAGTAGAAAGAATATCCTTTGTTTGAACTCTTTTAGAACATTATTCATAATGTAGAAAAATGTTCAAAACACATTTTTAACAGTTAAAAAAGAAACTGTATTAGTAATTAGTTCAAAAAGATCATTTTCTTTTAGGAAACTTTGTCAAACAAATAAGGAATCGTAGAAACATGTTCATCAAATGTTTGATAGAAATATCAGAAGTCTCTATAGAAAAGAAAGAACAACTAGAAGAAATAACAATTATGTGCTGTCATGCCCTGTAAACATGACATATCATCAAACATACTTTTTTCAAGAATTAATACGGTATTCTCTTCAGAGTAGTCATGCTTTTTACAAGTTAGTATCTTTTTTCTTATACTCTCGTATTACTTTTTCGTTAGAAAATAAAATGAAGATCTGTTTTTCAATAAATGAATTATCAGAAACTGTCTCTATACTCCTTCAATAAGAAAACGAATATTGTAGAAATAATCACAAACTCAAAATAAATAACAAACGCACTTTTCCATAATGATATGTATGTAGTCTATACATACGAATACACTTGTTATTTTTATAATACAAAACGTAGATTCGAACGAATGCGTAGAAATCGAGAGAGAAAAAAATGTAATATACGTGTAGTCGACAAAGGTTAGACTTATGTGTTCTAAGAGTGAAACAAAGAAATAGGAATAAAAAGTTTTTAAAAAAATTCGTATAAAGTAATATTGTTGAAAAAAATAGTTTAGATATCAATTTGAATATTTGTAGTAGTAATTTTGATTCATTTGTATTTACTCGGTTAGAGAGATAGCACATGTAAATGCTCCGTATACATTATCTTCTTCTTTCTTTTTGTATGCGTCAACTAAAATTTTGTATTCTTTTGCGGAGCGCCCCGTATTAACGCTGTTGTAGAATGAATTGAATCGATAAAACATCCTTTAGAATACACATCATTAAAATAAATTTTCTTCTTGATCTTTCTTTTTCTCAAATTTTGTTAAGTACGAATGAATATTTACACTTGTGTTCGATTGAATGTTAGACGTAGTACCTTTACTAGTAAAAATAACTGCTCATTCTGTAGAGAGATATAGTGAATTTTTCGTTTTTTTTATTCATCGTCGAACTTTCCGTTCTTTTTTCTCTCTCGTTATATATATATATACATACATATAAATACGTTTTTCTATGTTTATATGTTTAAGTGTCTGTGTATACAAAATAAAAACTACAACTTAAATCAGAATTGTACAAATTTTCTATATAGTTCTTTTAAAAAATCGTAATAATCACACATACAAAAGTAAGGATTTTTCTTTTATTTCTTTCAGTATAACGAAATAAAGAAATGAAAATCCAAACTAAAACTAATAATCGTTGGAGAAGAAATGTAGACGTATGTATTTGACGAGTATCATAGAACAGAACAAATAAAATTTGTACTGTTCGTATTATAAGGAGTAGAACAGAGAAAATATCAGTAGTAGTTGTATTTTGACTAAAACAATTTCTTCTTTCATATAGCCAGACAAATTTATTTCTAAAGATACACCTTGATATAAAAATTTATTGAATATAGACCTTTGTAGAATGAGTATCTCTCTACTCTGAACAGTGACCACTTGTTTTTAGTCTCAAAGTCTAGTAAAAAAACTTCTCTATCATAATCATTTATGGTAACGATATTTTCGGAATAATAGATAAAGATAAAAAAATGTTGGTTGTCAAAATGAATATATATGAGTATACACAGAAAGAGAGCGAAGTGCGCACACACATGAATAATTTTGGCTTTAGAGTTCAGGTTGTGTGCGCGTTCCTAGCCTGAGTGTGCATTAGTCGAATTTTCTTTTTCATGTGGTTGATCAAGAGTCTTTAAAATCTACCATAGTAGAGCGAAGTTTAATCATCTAAGAAGAGAATTAAAGAAATGTCCTCCCCGTGTTAAGTATATACAACCAACAAAAAACAAGTGGTAGAAAATAGAAAATCTTCGTGAAGTGAACGCATCCCTATTGTGGATATTTTGGAAAAAAAAATAAGAGAACAGTTCTTTCGGTTTTATTTCGTTTGAGATATCAAAAAAATCCAGAGAATCATTTTGTAGTTTGTTCGTATAACGCTGTCTGAAAAATTGTTGGACACTTTTGAAAAGCAAGTATCCAGTCATTCCGTAGATTCTTACAAGATCCTACTGTATGATTCTTATAGGATCCTGTAGTCAGATATTATAGAATCTTGCAAGGATCACAGGATACTATTGTAGGATTGTAGTAGGATTTGATCTGATTTTATTCAACTGGTTTATTCTACTAGGTTTATTATTTTTATTTGTTTAATTAGTCTCTCATCCCATTTAACCCGAATCAGATGATTCTGAGCTGGGATAAACTCAAGATTTGTGAGTACTGACCCATACGTCGTCACAGTGTTCGGTGCCAAAATATGGGTCTAAAACAATTTTTTATTTTCTACAATACAGTTGTATTTATATTAGAATTACTGCAAAACACGTGGGCGATTATTTTCTCGTATAAAAAAGAAAAGAAAATATATACAGAACGAAAAAATAGGAATCTTACACAAAATCTTATCGTAGGATTTTGCAAGAAATGCATAAGATTATGATAGATTATTATAGGAATCCTATAGGATTTTTGCTACCTTCCTACATCAGGAGACTTACGAAATTCCTGTCATAGGATTTTGTAGGATTTCATAGAACCCCATAATAGGAATCCTATAAGATCCTATTATCAGTAAAATCCTATAGGATCTTGTTGGATTGCTTGACCTGGGTACAAGACGAGCAAAGTGTAAAAGAAAACCAAAAATTGGAAAAAAAAAAAAAAAAATGGAGTTATATTTTCGGTGTTATTTATATAAATGTATGAGAACAAAACAAAATCTTATATTATTTTATCAAATCTTCACAGCATTATGGGAAAGAATCAGAGTTTGGTACAAAGAAATATGCGTATAAATATTTCGTACTACTTTACGAAAGATATATTATTGTGCTGGAAAGTGAGCCACAACACATTTCCAACACTAGTCCAATACCGTTTATATGAACACCGAATGGATTAAACGAAATTGTAGGCATTATTCAATGTCTGTTAGATCATCAATTCTGAATGAAAAGTACAGAAAAGCCTGTCAGCGTTGCTCTAGGAGCAAAAATGTGAAAAGTTTCTTCCTGGTTAACGCACAAATATATAATCAGTAGTCACTAGTCTACCTGTCGTTTCTCTTAAACTAAGCCATAAGAAACATCCGATTCTCGGTCTAATACCAATTCGTTTTTCCTTCTGACAAAGGAAAGCCTGAAGGTTTTCACAAAAAAACGTAAAGACCCCAATCACGATTGATTATCCAAATGAGTAATTGAAAAAAAACAGTTTTTTGTACAGTAGAAGTCGTTTATTTGATTTGCTTTATGACTGCTCTACCAAAATCTGTTTTAATTCACTTGTTGGGCTCTGTATCATACAAATATATAATTGAAGAAGCATCCATATTTAAGACGATTCTGTTCTATCAAGAACAGGAACTGTAGAATTAAACATCAGAGATAACTTCATTTCTACAGAATTCCAGAAATGTCATCTAATTCCGAATGACTCGAGAATGTAGGTGGAGGAATAAGAGTAACGACTGACTGTGAATGAACTTTTAAAACATTTCAAGCTTACGTAATGTGTTACATAAAGTTTCAGTTAGCATGATCAATTATATGAAAAATAAAGAATTCTAAAAAAGAATGTTTTTCTAGAATTCATTTATTCATGTAGGATCTCCATTAAATGATATTGAGTCATCGCTTTCAGTTTCTGTATGTATTCGTGCTTCGTTTTGATAAACTTCTAAAAGTTGATATTTAACGACTTACTGTTACTTACAAAGAAAAAAACAATGCATAAGTCAAGTATGAATAGAAAAATATTATTCATTTTCTGTTTTTTTTCTTCTCCAAATTGTGATAATTTCCATGAATGATAGCTTTTTTATCACTTACATCTCTTAATTGCATAGATTTCGTTTTCCAAAAAAACATTTGTTTATTTGTTCATCTATTCATCAGCGATATAATGAGATTTGATTAATTGAAGAGAAAAAAAAACGAATGATATTTCTTCTAGGCGTACTAATCTCCTACAATAGTTTTTTTTCCTATAGTTTAATTTAAGTATTAATTTTAACAGTATATATGGAAAAAGATATGAACTTACGTATATAATATAGCCAACGCAAAAATAAATATATATGTGCGTGTTTCTCGAGTGTAGGGAAGGACAGAACAACGCAAGAAGAAAAAAAGACGAAGAAATGTTACGGTAAAAATTTTAGAAAAACGAAAACGAAAAAAAAGAGAACATCAAACCATTGAAAATTTAGTAAAATGAGTTTCTATGATTACATTCACGTACAAGATACTACTACATATAACGAAACGAAACAAAAATTACAGTCTCACATATATCCACAAGCTATAAAATGAAAAAAAACAAAACATAATGCTCTTGGAAGGAAAAATCGACTATTTAATTTAGTAAACT